TAGCCTATTGGTATGGATAGAAAATTGGCTGGTTAACAAAACGCACAGCATAGGTGTAAAAGGGTCATTTTCAGGTTGGCCAGAAGTAATGAATGGTGAGCCACAGGGATTGGTACTGGGATCTCAACTGTTTACAATTTATGCAAATATCTTGGATGAAGAGATGGGAGATATGGTTGCCAAATTTGCAGATCCTACAAATAGATGTGGAAAGTATGTTGTGAAGAGGAAATGAGGAAGCTAAGAAATGATTCTGATGGGTTAAGTGAGTGGGCAAAGGTATGATAAATGGAATATAACATGTGAAATTGTCCCTGTTTTGACAGAAAGAGTGCAAAAGTAGTATTTTATCTAAATTGAGTTGTTCAATGATCTGGGTGTCATGAAACGTTAGTATGCAAGTACGTCAAGTAATTAGGCAAGTTCATGTTGCCATCTATTCTGAAGTGAATTTAATACAAACTGGCTTCACTTATGCTTCACTTAAACAGGGTGCTGGTGAGACATCAAGAGTACAGTGCACAGTATTGGTGACCTTTAATTAGAAAGGATACAAATGCATTGGAGACAGCTCAAATAAGGTTTACAAGACTAATGCCTGGAATGAGCAAGTGGTCTAATGAGGACAGGTTGGACAGGAAGTTGAAATGTTGTTGATGTAGGCAGGGAATATTAATTTGAGATTAAAATATTTATTTTGCTTTCTGTAAGTGATTTGGCATCGAGTTAAATATCCCAGCTGATCCTTCCTGGTTTAGACACTGCACATCAAAAATCCTTAATCAGTTTGGTCGAGAGGATATGCAGTTGGTTGTCCTATTATCTAGGACCCGCAGGTACAGTGCTGTTTTGGATTTCTAATCGCTGAAGTTCCAGTACAAGAAGTCTGTGGTTACATGTAAATATAGTGAATGGTTAATGTCATCATGAGTTGTTTGTTGTCCTTATTTTTATATTGATGCCAACTCTTAAAATGATTCTATTGCATGATGTTACAATTTGAACAATCACAGGCAGTATTCCTGCTCCTGTTTTCTTGATTTAAGAGAAAATGGAAGAATTAGCAAACTCTGATTATAAACTGGATGAAAAGGAGACTGCATTTTTTTTTACTTGTACACAGTAGCATGAAGTTTGAGGAAGCTTTTCTGTGTTCTCATTTACTGTACCTTGTTAATTTTTCTCTCTCTCTCTCTCTCTCTCTCTCTCTCTCTTACCCTTACCTTCATTATGCCTGTATGCATTTCTCTTGCTCTCGCTCTCAAGGCCACTAATCTGCAAACAATCTGAATTTTGGCATGAAGTGTGAGCTAAACTCTGGAATTACTCATCCTTCCCTGTACTGTTACTTCAGGGTGAAGTCATTGCTTTAATTCTTGTCTTTAAACTTGATATGTTTCCAAGGGTTCTGTCATGACTGCTTTCTCTGTCTGGAATCATTTAACTTACTGTACTGAAGAAATCACTGACCCATTGTCTTTGTGGCAGCAATTTAAAGTTAGCAATGAGCCAAATGGACTGGTTAGCTCCCAAATGTTACTAATTTCAGCAGCCATCCATATCAGTGTGTTGGCAGCTGTGCCAAATTCCACTTCAAGATAGGTTAGAAAATATGTGTTCAGAGATGTTAAAACACATCTCTGGAGCAGATGGTGCTTTTACTTCTCTTCAAGGATAAATGCAGAGATATTATGATGTATAAAACTGTTCATCTTGGCACCCGATCAATATTTTTCTATGTAATGAAAAAAATTCTTGCTCTTTTACTGCTAATCATCTTTGGATTTTTTAAATCAGGCAAACGATAGCAGTTCTGTGATTACTGCTGCAGTAACATAGTCGCTGAGTCATGGTGTTTGAGTTTTAATTTGTGCCTGACTTTTAAAATTGCAAAGTCATCCTGATTTTGGACTTTCCGATTGCACGCTAGCTGGAACAAAAATTATTCTGACTCAGACAGGAAATGTTATAGGCTTGATGCTATGAATTGTATAGATCAATATTGTTTTAAGTGAAGTGTTTTAAGTTTAAGTGACTTCACCTCTTAAGTGAAGACAAGCCTAACGGAGAACGTACTTTGCACTTTTCTTAAAAAAAAGTTTGCTGAATCTCCTTAATGCCTCTATCAGCACAATTTTTAATTTTTCATGAACGATCTGTGATTAAGATTTTAAACCTTTTTTTAAACCATGTGATTAGACCAGACCAGTCAATTAAAGAAAAATGGGGCTGATCTTGAGTATGTGGATTCAAGCATCAGATATCAAGGAGTGAGTGTACAGGCAATATAATTTTAAAATATGACAGCCAGTTTGTGCACAACAAGATTCAGCAAACAACAATATAATGTCTAGACATTTTGTTTCAGTGATGTTCAAAGATAAATATTGGCCTGACACCTGTCGTGTCCCAAGATACATCAAAGGTTTAAGAAAAACATTCCATTCAAAAGACAGAATTGGTGATTGTGTTATTTTAAAAACAAAACAGGAAGAATCAAAGATTTAAGAAGGAACTTCAAATCAGAGGACTGAAGTGGCAAAAGATATTGTTGTCAGTGCTAGAATAAAAAAAGGTGTTTGGGATACGGTTTGGGTGAATTACATGCAATACTGGAATCTAAAGGGGAGAGTGTAGCAAGAGCTTATAGCTCTGGAGCAGTTCAGAGATGAAGAAGTGCTGGAGATCATGGAAGGTTTTAAACACCAGATTTTATTTTAAATTTGAGGCATTGGGGAATCTGGAGATCAGGGGAGGTTGGTTGTCATGGTTGAGTGGAGCTCTATGCCAAATAATATGCATGCAGCAGCTTTTTTAATCAACTAGAAGGTGAGAAAAGGAAGACCTGCCATGGGGAGCACTGGAATAATCGAGTCCAAAGGTTACAAAAGCTATTAGGTTCGACAAAACATGAAATCAAGATATAAAGGAAACTTTCAACAGAGTCCAGAATTGTGGGAAGTTTGCCTTAATATATATTTGATCAATCAATAGGCAATGGTAATAGGGAGCGCCAAGTTCATGTAATATGTTCACATCGGTTTCCTAGAACAGTACGACATAGAAACAAACAGGGATAAGGCTAATCATGTATCGTGTAATGAGTAGCGTTAATTAGTAATCCCAGAGGAAAGGATCCTGTGAGGTAGAGTAATCATATTTATGATAGAATGTCACACTTAAGTTTAAGTGATATTTAAATCTGAAATAGTAGTTTTAAATTTAAAGTCAGTTCAGTAGATAAATAGGGGCATGCTGGCTACGGCTGATTTAAGAAATTAAAAATCTAGAAAAACTGTGGAAAATATTTGAAGAAATAATTCAGAATCTTCAATGAAAATAAATTGCATTGAGTAACAAATACACCATGAAAAGTGACCCATCCATAGATTAAATTTAAGAATATTATTAATTAAAATTGTCATACTGTGTAAAGAATGGTAGTAAGCCTGAGGATTGACAGTTTTAGGTACCAACTAAGGAAAACCGAGATTTACTTTTAAAAAGTATGGGTAGTAAATGATTAAACCAGCAAGAAAAGATAATGCTTATTGTAAGAGCTTCTAATTTAAAGTCCTGTTTCTTTTTATTACAAGCGTACAGGAATATATAAAAGTAAGGAAGTTTTACTACAGTTGTGCAGGGCTTTGGTGGGAGCATACCTGGAATAGGGCACGTATTTACTGGTGGATGTACTTGCCTTTGAGTCAGTAGAGCAAAGATTTACTGGATTAATTTCTGGGATGAGAGCATTGTTCTTTGAAACTGAGCAGAGTGGGCCTGTACACTGGAGTTCAGAAGAATGAAAGGTTGGCACGGTGGCTCAGTGGTTAGCACTGCTGCCTCACAACACCAAGGACCTAGGTTCGATTCTACTGTCTGGCAACTGTCTGTGTGGAGCTTGCACATTCTCCCTGTCTGCGTGGGTTTGCTCCGGTTTCCTCCCACAGTCCAAAGTTGTGCAGGCTGAGTGGATTGGCCATGCTTAAATTGCCCGTAGTGTTCAGGGATGTGTAGATTAGGTGGGTTATGCAGGATAGGTCTGGATGGGATGCTCTGAGGTTTGGTGTGGACTTGTTGGGCCAAAGGGTCTCTTTCCACACTGTAGTGATTCTATGATTTCATTGTGTAGATTGTGAATAGGCTTGGAAGGATAGTTGCTGAGAGATTTGTTTCACTTGGCTGGAAAGGCTAGACTAGACTTAATATAAGGGACAGTCAAACAATTTAAGATGCAAAATTTCTTCACCAGTGATTTTGAATCTTTTGGACCTTTCTACCCTAGAGAGTAGTGGATGTTTAGTGGATTCATTTACTCAAAGCAAAACAGGTCTTCAGACTGTGGAAATCAAGAGATATGGAAAGTGAAATTGAGGTCGAAGATTATCTCTGGTAATTGAATAGCCGAACAGTCTTGGGGCTGAACTTCCTCCTATTTCTTGCGTTGTTATGACTGAGACTATCAGTAACAGTTGACTGAGGTAGGATGGATTCAAGTGATATCATGGGTGAAAATGGATGTTCTTTGAGATGGAGAATGTATAGAAAAGGAACGGCTCTTGTTTTCAAAGAGGACATCAAAGATGCAAAAAATTGGCTTTCAGCTAGTGACAGCGGCAAATAAGGCTAATGAAGTTTTAAAGCCCATTACTGGAAGCATTCAGCATTCCGATTTCTGTAGAAAAGCTATCGACTTGAAACATTCTCCATCTACTGCTGCAAATCCTGTTGAGTACTTGCAGTTTGCTTTCACTTCAGATTTCCAGCTTATGCAATACTTTCCTTTTTGTGTTAGTGAGACAATTTGGAACATATACATACGGAAGCTAACCTTCTGATAATGTTGCCATTACATAGTAAGTGGACATGGATGAGGAAATGGCTCTCTCACGCTCCCTCACATACACACTCTCTCTCGCTCTGTCTGTCTCTGTTGTGCGCTCCCCCAGCATGTTGCTGCTGTAAATATATATTTTTAACTTTTTTTTTCTTTCCCACAGGTGCTTTCCTCATCCCGTATCTGGTCATGTTGTTGCTGTGTGGGATTCCGCTGCTTCTCATGGAATTCACTGTTGGCCAGTTTACGCATTTGGGTCCTGTCCACGCCTTGGCGAAATTCTGCCCTCTCCTGAAAGGTTTGTCCACGACTGTTACTGCAATATAGTGAAACTTCTCAGTTAGAGTTCTTCTTCTGTAATGGGAGCATCAACTCATTTCATTGATCAGCTCCACTTGGGTTATTATTGTACTGGAGGTACATTTATCTCCTCTGTACTGATGAGATACAAAATGCTTCAGCAAGTTATGTCTCCTTGTAACATAAAATTCCCTAAAGTTCTTCACAGATGAAAAAGTGTAACTCCAAATACTTGTGACATTTACAAAACTTGTGTTCCTGAAAATGACTCAGTCAGTTGAACCATTCTAATTTATCTCCAGGTACATGCTGTTGTAATCAGCCCCACTTGCACTAGACTCCTGAAACCATCATTGGTGTTTTGAAAAAAATAAATCTTGATGAAATGGGCCAATTTCTACTTGGTGCTGAAGCTGCTTATTCTTATTTAGCACAAAATTGATGAAATTATGTATTAAGTGGTTTACATTAATGGAGCATTCTTTCCTGAATAAATGTTGAGGAGGACAAAACTATGAATATGTACTGCTAAAGAACAGTGGTGTCTATTTAGTTCATCCCAGCATAAATCTGTCAGTAATTTCCAAATTAATTACTTTGGTGATTCAGATTTGGATAATTTGTTGCTTATTGAGCTGAATTAATTTGAGTCTTGATACAGAATTTTCATATTTTGCCTTTTTAGGCTCAGTGTGACATTTAAACAAGTGGGGTACAATCTAGTGTTTTCACTTTTTCTCTCCATTTGAGATATTCTTCAGGTATTATACTGAAAACTAAATTCATCTTTTATTTACACACGATGAATTTTGCCCAAGTCTCTTTTTTTTTCCCCACTGGCTCCTCTTTTCCACAGGCCCCTGTGGTGGTTGTCCTTCAGCAATTATTTTCTTCCATGTTTGAATGTACCTTTTGCCATGAGTGACTTCCTTTCTCTGTACTGCAATTTGTCTAAGTGAGTTTAGCGTTCCTGTCCCAAACTCTCTTCCTACATCCTATGTTTCAATTTGCCTTGCCGCCTTGTGTTTTGAACAATCAGAATTAATCAGCAACCATGTCCTTTTTTTCAGTGCACCTTTTAGCCATGACCCTGTTTCTTGACTACTTTTGTATTGATTTGTCTATTTGATCCTTACTTTTTGGATGGTCCTGCAGACAAGTTATCAATGCAATGGTTAATGCTACCAATTAGTCTACTAGTCCCTTTTTGAGCCAGTCCAGACAAGGAATGTAATTCCACATTTGTTGTTATCTTCCATTATTCATGATTTCACTTTTGCTGGTTCTATTCAATTATTATCTGCAAGCCTGTACACCATGTTATTGTGGGGTTCTTGTTCTGTGGATTGTGGATGTCACAGACTAAATGATAAAATTGGCTATAGAATATCTGATAAAATAAAGATATTTTTATGTTGTCTGTGCCCTGAAGAGATGAGGCTGATGCTTATGGATTTGGCAGATAGGAGGAGAAAAGGAAATGTATGGGATTGTTTTGATTTCTCTCCAATATCCATACACCGTTTCACTTGGAGGTGAGTTGTATTTATGATGGTACACCAGTACCAGTGTCTTGCTGAGTATTTGATCTTCTTTATCAGTTGGAAACATCGAATTGATGTTTTGATATTGATCATCTTGCCAATTCAAGAGTAAGAAAAACAGCTTTGGCAGTTGCAAAGTATATTTTCCCTGTTTATAGGTTATTATTGATCCACTCCATGTCCAGAGTCCTAGACTCCTTTTTTAATTGGTGATTCCTCATCAGTTCTGCACCTGCAGACTGGAATGGTATGTTGCTGTAGCATGGCACATCTATGGACCCAAGTGGTCCCTCTTGGGATGTAGCATTCCATGCCCAATGTTCCTTCAGCTCTGTCCAATGAGAATGAAGCTATCTTTGCAACTGAAGTCTCTTAACAGTGTAACCACTGTTGTGTATCTATTCCTCACCATCTTAATACCTTTGCATTGCTCCAAAGTGTGGAGCACAGCATTGGAGATACTCTAGTTCAGGCTGATTTAATAAAATCCAAGAGGACTACAGATGCTGTAAATCAGAAACAAAAACAGAAATTGCTGGAAAAGCTCAGCAAGTCTGGCAGCATCTGTGGAGAGAAATCAGTTAACATTTCAAGTCGAGTGATCTTTCCTCAAAACCATGTTATCTAATGTTCTGTAAAGATTCATCCTAATTTCTCTACAATTGAATTTCTCTACATTGAATGAAGCCCAGAGTCCTATATGTTTTACTAATCACTCTCTCAACCTGCACAGCCTCCTTCATGACTTCTGCACTAATTGACCCCAGACAATCAGTTGATAACACAGTTATTAACTTTTTCATGAACGTGTAGCCAGAGGCTGAGTCTTGTGTACACACACACTTCCAGAGACTGAACACAGAATCCAACACCCTCTTGCCTTTTAAATTAAAACCAGGAAATCCTGAGAACACCTTTTTCACTCACTCCAGTTTTAATTTTTGCTGACATTCTTAACTTTCTCTCTTTCTTAATCCTTTCTCCACTTCGAATGTTCAACACAGGATGTTTATTGGGAACTCTTCTGCATGATTCATATGGCCTGAGAGGTCTTCTTATTAAATATTCCTTCTACACACTCTTTCAGAGGCCATAACAGTCATTGACTAACATACTTGCAAGTTCTCTGTTTTTTGCCTTGTCACTGGGAAGGGCAGAAATTGGGTCAGTCACTTAGCAGCCCTTAAGACAACCTCCAATCTACATTGGGCTGTTCACGTTTTTACTGGCTGACAACATCCTCTTCGTATGTTTTCACTTTCATTTTCTGATCCCTCTGCCATGTGGTGATGGTATGTTTCGCGTGCTATAGTTCTACTCTGTACAACAACACCTTTATCAAACTGATTGTCAGTTTAAGTGGTGCAAACTGTTAGGTAGCTCCCTCTGCCACCAGCACATCATTGTGCTTGTTCACTTTCTGTATCTAATTTTTATTACCAGTCACATTTGCATGTACTTTGTCCTGCCTCTTGCTGCATAGTTGTCAATGGTGGAAGTAGCCGACCTCCTCAACAGGGACTCCAGAGTACTCTTGCTCTGAAAAAGGTGACTAGAGCACAATCAAGCAAAATCATCATAGGTTTGGAATGTTATATCAGCACCCTGTTTGGATATTATACCAAAGAAATCCAAACAACTTAACAAATAAATCAACAAAATTCCACCGAAATGGGTGGGTTTCCTCCAGGTGCTCTGGTTTGCTCCCACAGCCCAAAGGTTGTGCAGGTTAGGTGGATTGGCCATGCTAAATTGCCCTTGGTGTCCTGGCTTTTGCAGGCTAGATGGATTAGCCATGGGAAATGCAGGGTTACAGGGATAGAGTAGGGGTGTGGGTTTGGGTGGGCTGCTCTTCAAAGGGTTGGTGTGGACTTGATGGACCGAATGCCTGTTTCCACACTCTAGGAATTCTACGATGAAATTGTTTGTCTTCACAGATGGACTTTTTCTTTTTGCCACGTCACCTCTTGATGCCTTCCCTTCAATTTGCATTCAGGCCTTGCCTTTCATCATTGGTCAAGAATCTCCGGATTTGGCAAAAAATGTGCTTTGTTCATTTCTCAGTTTGCTGGATAAATCTTTTTTGTAGACCATAAAAAATATCATTTCAAGAGAAAAATGTTTTCTGAATTGAATTGAAAATATGTCTGAAATGTTTGGTGTGATTTACTGTGCAACATTTACTGCAATTAATGTACTTCAACTGTTGCTAAAATTTATGTCCTGAACCACCTTCCTACTTTCCATATTTTATTCCCTGGGTATAATTTGGAAGAATTTGAAACAATGCCTTAACAAGCACAGACGAACAACATCATTGTGGTCATTTTCTATTAGTAGCCACCTGTGCACCCACTATGCTGTGACTGTGTTCTCATTATTTTAATGCTTTGTTTTCTGATTTCACATGGTGTTCGGGGAGCATTTTGTGCCAGAAATGAGTACTGGATCTGATTTTTATTTCAATGGCTAATTTAAATGGTTCGATGATCTTATTAAAACAATATCCAGTGTGCATTTAGCAGACAAAACACTGGCAGCGGGACGTTGAGAAAATGAACTTAATGTAGGTTACTGTCTGTGTATATATGTAATATTTTAAACACCCAAACACATTCATACTGCCATATTGAGTATAGCAGTTGTGTGTATGGTAAATAAGACAAACCACATGTGTTGTTGGCAAGCATCCAAAAGTAGGTCTTCCACTTTTAATTTTTAAAAACATTTTTTTATTTAACCTATTTTCCCTTCCTTAAATATTCCAATAAATATACAATATCTTATCAGTAAGAAGGCACCACCATAAATGTTTGTTGTATATTCTCCATTAAAATTTCTTTTAGAAAAGATTACACTTTATGGCTATCCATCCAACATAAATAACATTTTAAGCACAGCTTGGAAGTTGTTCTTTATCATATGGTGATTGCATACCAGTAATATTGTCTGGATCTACTCTGCCAGACAGTTAGGTCTTTTGTCACATTTAGTTTGTTGACAATGGAATAAGATGCTTTGGGTTATATTCAGTGCCATGGTGTGTGTGAATAACCTTTATTTTGTTGAATTATTGGCTTTACCTTCCCAATCAGCCTCTATCTCCATTTGATGGGAGAAGCAGAGAGAATTTGAGGGGTGGGTCATGCCAAAAACTTGTGTTCTTCCTAATTTTTTTGAACTGTGAGGTAAGCTGACAATTTATAGAACCCAGACACCATTTTTTAATGTAGTTGAGCCTTATTTCCACAGTGAAAATCATGGATCCAGCAGACACAAAATTACAGGACAATGCTTAATGTACTTCTTTTGAGCAAATATAAATCATTCCTCCTGTCTGCTTGATTGAGTACTCTGACTTCTGTCACTGATGTTCTTTAATTTCGTAAAGAGAGAATCATTAACTTCAATGGCCGCAAAAATCAAGCGACTTCCTGAACAGCAAGAATATTTTCCTTGTTTTTGTTTAAGGCTTGGAAATAGTTGATCGTAATTATGGTTTCATTGGTCGTTTTAAGGAGTGGTTCGGAGGAGAGATCATTACTACTGCTTGATTATAATGTAAAAGCTGACAATTATGCTGGTGTTACAAAACTTTTAAACTTTCTTAATCTCTTCTATTTTGAGCCCCTCATGACAATAGAATGCTTAAATGTCCTCATAACTTTTAACAAATAGAACCTTTGCTGCAGTAACTCTGTCACAACTGAAACCTACTTGGCTTTGACTACCTAGATCCTTTTTAAGTACTGGCTGTATGTTGTGGCTAAAGCTGTTCATGAAGGAATGCTCCACATAAAGACAGGCATTCCATTTTTCCAAGCAAGATGAATTCCTGTCTGTTCATAAACCTCTTGGGGGTGGGTGGAAGCAATGAGTTTCCTGATTTCATTTCAAACTATTTCCAGCCTTGGTGTTAGTACATTTGTACTAAAACTGTGGTGACCCGTGATGGATCAGAAGTGCAGTGGTGTCCTTCCCTGTTGCTGCTGTCCTGAATATGGAACTACAGTCATGGATAATCTTCTTTTCAATTCAGCTGTTAAGTGCAGATTTTTAGTTTTTAAAAGCAGACAAGCTTGTTCCTACTTTGAAATACTTTTTGCTTATGACAACCTATATTAAATATTAACTAGATTATTTTAATAGATAATGTGTTAGAGAAAATAATGTAGGGGTTGTATTCCCTAGAGTGTTTTTTTAGCAATCTGGTTGATTCACTCAAAAGAAAACAAAAAGGTCCTTTGTATATAGTCTTTTTGTGTTTAAATTGATGATCACTTTTGGTCAGCTATTACACCATTTTATATTCACATGGAAATTTTTTATAGGCATATGACCAGAATGTTAAAGATAACACTGAAGGAATTTCAGCCCCTTAAGCTGCTTTTGAATCAAACATTCTTCCTTATTCAAAGGTGGTTGAGATTAATGATGGTTCACTTTTTTGTGGTTAAGCACAGCTGAACTGGAAAAAAGAATTTAAAAACTTGTTTGTTGCGCCAGTTTAGTATCATTTTGGAGAGTTTGCCTGTACAATGTTGGTTACTTTTTAATGTGAGTATGTCAGTGACTGAACCCCCACCATCCAAAACAAAATACAAAAGATCTGATCAACGGCATGGCTTGCAGTGGGGATAAAGTGGACTTCCATTGTTTGGGTGTCCTCAATTAGAAGATTACAATATGTTCTTTCCATTTCTGCAGTACACAGTATCTTCGTATGTCAGCATCTTTTAATTGCAGCTTTCATTTGTTTTTGAACTTCCTCCATGGTATCTAATGGAGGCACATCCTATTGAAGTAATTCATTGTCTTGTCCACAAAGTCTTAACATTGACTTCCATAGCGTCCCACTCCCCTAAACCCTGAGCTGGACTCAGTTGCTTTTAAATATGTACTTCACCTGTGCTGTAAACACCAGTATGGTGATGGCTAATGCTACCATGTAATTCTTAATGTAATTTTTTGTGCTGATTTTTACTGTGGTGTAGTGAGACTTTTCCATGTGATAAATTTTAATGTAATGAGAACCCTTCGTGATGCCCTCAATGCAGTGGTATGAAGGGTGGCAATAGCAAATCTGGACTGTGCTGAATAATGCTTGGATCTGAAAGTTTTGTAGCGTGACCTGATTATTGTTTTTTAGATTAGAAGTCAGTGTGTTAGTTTAATGATAACCACATTCCAATTCCAATCCCAATTGCTGCTCTTCTGACTGTTTTGATTACAGTTTATGGTTCACAAATTCTAAACTAATAAGATTTTGGCCTTTTTTTATTTGTTGTGAGGGAAGTAGTTAAGATGTTACTGCAGTTCTTTTTCACCAGGGATGCTACAATGGCATTGGAAAGAAAGATTTGGAAATAAAGCCCAGTTCATTAGTAACTGCAAGTATTGTCTTTTAGCACTATTTCTATTGGTATGGGTCCCAGTGTCACAAGTGTGGCAAAACACACACTGCTACCAAGGAGGGCTGACCATTCTGTAAAGTTATGACCTCCTTATTTATGAAGGCATGTGCAGAGAATTTGGTCTTCAAGTTTCTGGCTGCAAAATTTTAAAATTGAGGTAACCAGTTTTGCAGTGGTTGCTTCACTAGCTGAAGGGGGCAACAGAGATGGTATGATGAAGTGGCATCATTATTCCTTCAAATAATTAATCATTGGAGATATGTAAAAGATGCCAAGTGCTAAACTTCTAATACTAGTTGCTTTGGTGGAGGTAGTCAATGAAATAAATTTGGATCTGCTGTACCTAGGAAAAAATAAGGATGACATTCACTAGCACGTGTGGACTCCTCTCCTGCAGATCTTTGAGCTGTGATGCTCAGCACCAATTGTTACTAGAAAGGGGCTAACTCATAATTAGTTCCCCTCCAATTTAGCCATTCAATCTCACACCTTTTGCCAGAACCATCAAAAAAGGCATTGTAATGATCTGACTCCAGTAACATCTTATGACTGTGCTAGGGATTCAATAATATCATTATACCAACAGGATCGTAATACACTACATCAGTTTTTATTGCACATCAGTTTTGATTTGGGCTTGGATGTTTTAGTGGAATAAACATGTTGTGCAATAAATTTAAATACATTTTCATGTTATTTCTCAAATCTAAGCAGTGCTTTGTGTTTGTTGTCAGATTGCCTGTTAACTATCTGTCATAAATTTCACTGGAGCACTTCAAAACAGTCAGAGAGTGGAAAAAGTAATAATCTAAGATTGTTAAAACTTTTTTCGGATCATTGGGGGGGTGAGGGAGTCCAGTGCTGGAAGAGGACAACAAGGTGACAATTCAGATCTCATTCCACGTTCTGTAGCCATTTCCCTGTATATTTGTTGATGGTGCTCTCATCGTTCTCATCCTCTTCCTGTGGAAACAAAAACATTTTTTAAAAAAGAGGAGCAGAATAGGCCATTCAGCCCCTTGAGCTTGCTCCACTGTTCATTATCATTGTTGATTGTTCAACTCGATAGCTTGCTCCGGCTCCTGCTTTTACCCTGCATCCTTTGATTTCTTTGGCCCCAAGTAGTCCATCCAACTCCTTCAAATCATATAATGTTTTGGCCTTGACTGCTTTCTGTGGTAGAAAATTCCATGGGCTTGCCACTTCCTGGATAAAGAAATTTCTCCTCGTCTCATTCTCCATCTGATTCCATGGAACTGCTACTTCATTGCCATCCGATCTTCTGCATGCTCACTGCTGTCTGTTTGATGGCAAAATTTTATGCATGAAGACGGTTTTCAGAAACCTTAGAGTGGTTGCTTTTCCATCCCCATGATGTGCTCCATACTAATTCAAATGGGATTAATTACATTTGCTCTCTGACACTGACACTGATTTGTCTTTGTAACTGAGGCCATCAGGATGGCACAACAGTAGCTTTAATGTCCAAACAGCTACTAGTCATTCTTTCAGAATCTTCAAATTTAAGCGATCTGGATTCCGGTATAATAACATTACAGATGTTCCCAAGATAGTATCCTGTAATGTGACATATTTTGAGTGTTCAGGATATCTATTCATAAAAACTCAATGCTTCAGCTGTGATGCAAACAGGAGTGATGAATGCATGGCACCATTTACAATGCCTTTGACTCTTTGGGTAGCCCACTGATTGACTGATCAATCTCATTTGCAGTTGGTATTTCCTGTTCATTTGGAAAGGTTTATAATGGTAGGTTCCCAGCAAATTTGGTATGCGATATTTGCTTTATTCAAGAATGAATTATAAATTGGCTTATCTGATACCCATGCTCTGTGGAGAGTTCCTGGAACATTAAAGCATAATGTCTCAATGATATTCCAAGTCACTGAAATATCATTCCAGTCCTTGAAGATGTCAGTTTGTAGTGAATTGCACACACTTCTAGTATGCCTGCATCAAAACTCAAATGGTGTAGAAAAGTTGGGTAAAATGGGTGGGCATTCTATTATAAAGGAACATTGGATAATGACAAGTGTGCACTTATGACCTGAAGTCTTTTTGCACTTGTTAAAAATGTTTTTGTTCCTTTGTATGAATTAGAGTACAATTTTACAAATGTAGAAGGATTCCACCCACCCAATTCAGATGGCAACTTGTACTGCAAACTGTCAGTTATCCAAGGGCGTCTCCTTGCCCTACTGTATGTCTTCTGTTTAGATTCCAGTAGGATATTTTTGACATAGCCTGGATCCTATTAGCACCATTTATATGTTGTCCAGAAAGGGAAAAGCTGAAAACCTGGACATTTAAACAATTTTGAGGAAATTGCCAGGCACTGGGATATTTGAAAATCTGGGTCTGTTTCAGCTAAACCATGTTGTTACCCTATCCTTTCTACCTCTTGGATATATTGCAAGGTGAGTGTCAAGGTCATGGGCCTTTTTCTTTTCCTTTTCTCTGCTCTACCAGTGAGCTTTGGACCAGTGGAACCTGGAACCTACAGAACTAGGTGCTCATTTATTCCCTTGGGTTAAGATGAAACTTAATAATCATTCCTCATGTGTAACACTTGGTAAATCTGGGCCAAAAATGCCATAAATAAGGAAAAGCTTACATCTATAGGGCAAGATTTATAACCTCTGAATATTCCATGGAAATATATTTGATGTGTAGTCACTGGTTCAATGTTGGAAACTCAAGATCCAATTTGCAGAAAACAAAACAAAAGTAACAAGATAATGGCCACTAAATTATTTAGTTATTCTGGTGGTTATATATTGACCAGAGTGGTGATTGGAGTGAATCCAGGAGGATAGATGGCTTCAATTTAAAGTCTCATCATGAGATGATGAATGTATTTCAAAGTTCCACACTGCTTTATTCTGCGATAAAGTATAGGTGTAGATGTTGTGCTATGGTCTCTAGAGTGAGACCTGATTCACAGACTTCATACTCAGAGGGAAAAGTATGATTTATGTGGCAGAACAGTATTCCACACTATTTAGAACTGACCAGATTCATCAAGATTACTTTTCATTTTATAAAACGAGAATGTGTCATACTCAAAAGACGAGATGTGAGACTAAAAACTCAACCTGAAACCCATCTCACTTTTGCGAACAGCAACAGCACAGTACAGATCTATTTCCGAACTGAAATTTGCAACAAAGCATATGCTGTCCTACTGTATCGGGACTAGCACTGATAAAATTATTCCCAAATGTTTGAATGAGGAGGTTAAAGGCCAAGTCCATTGTTTTCTGATTTTGTAACTTTGCCATACTTTTTTTCCTTCCACCATCTCTGTAGATTTTAACATCTGGGTTGTCATGAAACTGGGGAAATGCATTGGGCTTGGAAATCTTTGTTTACCTAGGGCAAAAATGTGTCTCAGGCCTAAGCTGATGGAAATCCTGCCGTTGTTCTGTGTTGATTTATTATTAACATATGTATTAGCTACATGTAAAAGAACCTGGTCTTCAGTCACTGGCAGAAACTGGTGTCATTTTTACCTTTTGCATTTCTTAAGGGGTTTGCTGCTTTATTTTTCCAATTCTAACCTGAAGACTTTCTCCTCAGTTTGTTTTTTTGAGACAGAGATAGTCTACCCGATCAAATCTGTTAATCGCTTGATCATTCCCGTCTGTGCTTCTCGAAGAGAGAGAGACAGGTAGTGAATCCACATCTTCTTTTCACACAATCTTGAGTCACACTGTTGTCACATTTCTCATGATCATCTTGACTCCTGCATGAGACTCTTATGGTAAACGAGCAATATTTAGCAAATTTGTCCCAGATTATTTGGGCTCAGCAAACCCAGCAACATTAAGTTAGAAAAGACACTGGTATCACAAACAAGCATCCAAATGCTCCTCAGACTGCATTTTTAAGAATTAAAGTTCTGTTCCTGGGGCTACTGGGAGCTCTGAGTAACCTGCATCAGATAACTGCTTGCAGCAATTTTCAATAAGATGTAACCACTGCCTTTCTCGTTTCAATTCTAGGAGCTTCAATTTCTGTTGTCTGTCATGCACGTTGACACTTCTCTATGGTGCATTTTACTCTGCAATTACCTATCTTTCTTTGATTGAGAATTACCTGCGTCACTGTGGCTTTAAGCCTTGCGTTCTCTCCAACCACAAAACGCTGTAAGGGAGGTGATGGTTTAGTGGTAATATCACAGTACAAAACAAAGGGGAGGCAAAGGCATAGTGGTCTTGTTGCTGGACTAGTAACAGACCCAGCTGCCATCTGGGGGCCTAGGTTTGAATCCTACCACAGCAGATTGTGAAATCTGAAGTCAATAAAATCTAGAGTTAAAAGTTTAACCATGAAACCGTTGTCCTTTCAGGAAGGAAAACTGCTGTCCTTACCTGACCCATGACAATATGGTTAACTCTTAATTCCCCTGCACGTTTCAGTAATAAAACTGTATGGATCACCTGGCATTGATTATGTTGGGCTGTTACCTGACTGGTCATACCATGGGATTTAACTTTATGTACAAAGTCCCAGACAACACTGTTACATCCCTGGTTTTCCCTGCGGACTTAAAGCAGAACAGACTTAGTAGAATGATGGCATTCAGACAGGAGGGAATTATTCTCTGATTCCTCAACATTGACTGTGGACCCTGTGAAGTCTCATTTGCATCAGGTCAAACTTGGGAAAAGATGAATCCTGCAGATTGCCATGCCTGCTGCTTCTTCAAGTTGATGAGTCAATTGAACATCAATTGGTGGAACTACAGAGGGTGCCAAAGGTGCAGAATGTAATCTGGGCACAGGGCTTCAATGTCCATCACCAAGTGTTTTCAGAAGCACCACTATTGACTGAGCCAGTCAAGTCCTAAAGACCATAACTGCTTGACAGGTGAGGGAACCAACAAATGGGGAAGAACATCCTTGATCTCATCCTTACTAATCTGCCTACCACAGATGCATCTGTCCATGGCAGTAGCAGTAAGATTGACCACTGCGCAAGGAGGAGGTTAAGTCCATCTTCACAACGAGGATACATTCTGTCATGCCATAGTGCACTATCACAGTGCTAAATGGGATAGATTTCAAACAGATCTCGTAAATCAAGACTGGTTTTGTTTAAAAGTGCAAGTTGCGGGTTGAGCATGCTGTCATTTCCAAGAAAGGTTTTTAACTCTGATAGGAAGAGTTATTATTATGTAAGTAATTTACTGTCATCAGTGGAGTGATGGAAAAGTCATCAATGTTTTCAAGCAGCACTGGCAGAGGAAGAATCTGCTAAGTGAAACTCCGCCTAGATTCCTTCAGGGCCGCTCAGATCCAGACCTCATTACAGCCTTGGTACAAACATGGATGAAAGAGTTGAATTCTCGAGTGAGGTGAGAATGAATCAGCTTGCCGTGGATTTCACTGAAGGAATACTTCCGTGTAGTTTCCTAGGCCCAACCATCTTCTGCTTGTTATATGACTTCCCTCCATCGTAAGGTCAGATGTGGGTTTTGTGCATTGTGCAATCATCAGTGTTCAGCACTATTCACAATTCCTTGGATACTGAAGTAGTCCATGTCCATATGTGTCAAAACCCAGGATAATAGTAAGGTTTGGGCTGAGGACTGAAAAGTAATATTTGTGCCACACAAGTGTCAGGCAATGATCATCTCTGAAAGAAACTAATAACTCCTTGCCATTTAAATGGCGTTACCATCACTGAATGCTCCACTATCAATATCTTTTTGGGGTTACCATTGACTAGAAACTGAACGGCACCAGTCTTGTAAATACTGTGTCTACAAGATCAGATCAGAGTCTAGGAATTCTGTGGGAGTATTTTGCCATTTGACCCTGCAGTGCCTGTCTGTAAGGCACAAGTCATGAATGTGATGTAGCTCCAAAACAATGTCTTCACACAGAGGGTGGTGTGTGTATGGAATGAGTTGCAAGAGGTGGTGTTGGAGGCTAGT